TGCTTTTCATATTTTATTTTTAAAATTTAGCGCCATTGGGATTTTTGGACACTAGCGGTCGTGGACCAATGGGATCGAAGAGATGAAAACACCGTTCCTGTGTGAACCAATCACCTTTCGCCACACATAAAGATGTCTGCCGGCTGGGTTGTCGGCTTGCAGTCTGCTGCAAGGCTTCACTGTAGACCACTTGTACACATGTCGGTTATACGTGGATGTCCGGCATCGTACTAGTTTACGTAGAGTCCTCAAAAACTTAATCGGTTTTTCCCTCTGGCTTCGTTTATTTTATGTAGTAAGTAAACTACACCATTTTCATGCAAACTTTCAATCAGGGCAAGTGTGTTTGTTGAAATATGGTTACAGAATTTTTTTCTACATTTATGAAGTCTTCGTATTTCAAAGCATTTAAATTATTCTTCTGTTGTCATATTTTATCAAATTGTCACGACGACAGCAAGTTACCTTATGTGTGTTAATGTTTCGTAATGCCAGTGGATTATTTTGACATCTGGAATCAGAAACGTCAGTACTTTCTCGTATCTAAATGATATTTGTTGTCATTTTCCTTGAATTACTTCGGTTTCCTTACTCCACGCTTAACCACGAATTTCTGACTTAGCAGTAATAAATAGTATTTAATATGTCCACCTGTTTAAGGAAAGTGAAACAATATTTCCTGCTGTCTGCTATTCTAACCTCTTTATATAAGGAGCACTCATCAAAACGAAGTTGTTATGAAATCCAGCCCGAAATTTCCAGATTTTTCTTGTCATTTTCAGACACACATGTTTGGCCATGGGTCTAATATGTCTCTAATTACATTTTCCCCTCTATTCAGGTACACCATGGGGCTGCGAATTAAATGCCCGCTCTTGTGGCCCCTCATCACCACCTCCATTCTTCTTTTATGTGTGAATTACTCCAACTCCCTTGCTGTGATAAGTGTCGACCTGGGTAGTGAATGGATGAAAGTGGCAATAGTTTCGGTATGATCTCTCTTAAAACTTTGAACTAATTCAACAGATTTTCCTGAAGTGATGTCTTGTAATTTACATTTTCCCATTAACTCACTTTTTTCCAGCCGGGAGTGCCTATGGAGATTGTTTTAAATAAGGAATCGAAGCGCAAAACACCAGCAGTTATATCGTTCCGTGGTGAGGATCGTACATTTGGAGAAGATGCCATTACAGCCAGTGCTCGCTTCCCCAAACAGACATATGCATACCTTCTCGACCTTGTGGGTAAAAAGGCAGACAACCCTTTAGTGAAACAGTTTCAGACAAGGTTTCCTTTCTACGACATTATTACGGACCCCGTCAGAGGGACTGTCCTTTTTAAACATGATGAGTAGGTGTCTTACTAACTTTACCAGTGCCGTGTATCAACTTTCTGTGTCTTATTTACTAATTTCATGTTTCAGTGGAGTCAACTACAGCCCAGAAGAGCTTCTGGGTATGCTGCTTCACCGAGCAAAAGAATTTGCGGAAATCTCAGCTGGCCAGGCTGTTAATGAAATGGTCTTGATTGTTCCTGGCTATTTTAATCAAGCCGAAAGACAAGCAATGCTGCAGGCTGCAGATTTGGCTGGCTTCAAAGTTCTTCAATTGATGAATGACTATACCGCAGGTATTGTTGTTTTGTATTTCTAGATGTTAAGTTTCATTGAGCTCAGTTTTTAATACATATTTCTGCTGTTACTTCAGTTGCCTTAAATTATGGCATCTATCGGCGTAAAGACTTCAATGAAACAGCGCAATACGTTATGTTTTATGACATGGGTGCAACAAGTACAACAGCTTCCATAGTGAGCTATCAAGTGATCAAGACCAAGGAAAGAGGTTTTGTTGAATCTCACCCTCAGGCATCTATCATTGGTGTTGGGTTCGTAATCTCTACCAATGAAACTGATCATAAAAATTGTCCAGTACTGTGCTGTACTATGCCGTGCAATTTTTATCTTAAAAAAACTTTGATTTTATAGGTATGATCGTAGTCTTGGTGGCCTTGAAATACAACTCCGTCTTCGCGACTATTTAGCTCAAAAGTTCAACGATCTTAAGAAAACACCAAATGATGTTTTTAAAAACCCTCGTGCTCTTGCAAAGCTCTTCAAAGAAGCTGGTAGAGTAAAAAATATACTTAGTGCAAATGCAGATCACTATGCACAGGTTAGTGATTCAAATAAAGAATTGTGCTTGAAAAACTTGCTGTCTCAATGTTTCTTATATATTTCATGTAATTATAGGTTGAAGGCCTCCTAGACGATATTGATTTGAAGATTCAGGTGACTAGAGAACAGTTAGAAGACTTATGCAAAGACATTTTTGATCGTATTCGTGGCCCTGTGGATCAGGCTCTTAAAGTATCTGGGTTAAGCATGGATGTTATTAGCCAGGTATGAAGTTTTCTTGTCACAATGCATCAATTTCATTCCTCTTGTCTCAACCTACCCTATAATAGTAATGAATTTTTTTTAGGTTGTGCTGGTTGGAGCTGGTGCTCGAATGCCCAAGGTACAAGAACGTCTTCAAGAGGCTGTGAAGATGGATTTGGCGAAGAACATCAATGCTGATGAAGCAGCTGCAATGGGTGCTGTTTACAAGGCTGCCGACTTGAGTACTGGGTTTAAAGTTAAACCTTTCTTAACAAAGGATGCAGTAATTTTCCCTATTCAGGTCTATATCAATATTGAAAAAAATGTTAGTACTTTTTTAGAAGTTATAAGTTCACAATATCATCCGATTTTTCTCTTGTGTGCAGGTAACATTTGAACGTGAAGTTGAAGGCCAAACAGTCCCAAAGCAGATCAAGCGTCTTCTTTTTGGTCCTATGAATCCATACCCTCAGAAAAAAGTCTTAACATTTAACAAGCATACTGATGACTTTTCTTTCAATGTCAAGTATGCTGATTTAGACCATATCCAAGAAAATGAAGTTAAGTAAGTGTCATTTCATTACTAATTTTTTTCCTATTATCCTGAATTTAAGGATTTTCCGTAATATTTATGTTTTTTCAGGAATATTGGTTCTCTTGACCTTCGCACAGTATCCTTGAGCGGTGTGTCTGAAGTTCTTAACAAACATAAGGGTCCCAATGCTGAATCAAAAGGCATCAAAGCTCATTTTTCGATGGATGAAAGTGGAATTCTGAGTTTATTGAATGTAGAGCTGCTTGTGGAAAAAAATTCTACAGATGATGAGGAATCAACTTTTTCTAAATTAGGAAGCACTATCAGTAAACTTTTCACTAACCCAGATGAAGCAGATTCTGAGAAGACAGGGGAAAAGCCTATTCATGAAGAGCCTGAAGAGGGTGGTGAGGAAAAAGATGCCAAAGAAGGCAAAGAAAAGGAAAAGAAAGAAGATAAACCAGATGAATCAAAGACACAAGAAACCAAGTCAGATGATAAAGCAGATGATACTAAAAAAGATGAAAACAAGAAAGATGAAAGTGAGAAAAAGGGTGAGAAAAAGACTTTAACAAAATTACTAAAAGAAAAGATTTCTACTGAGGAGGAACAACTTGGAGTTATTCCTATGAGTAAGGATGCTTTACAAGAAGCTTTTAGAAAGTATGTGACAAATATTTATTTTGACTTGCTTATGTAGATGTTTATGTACCAAGTTGTTAAATTCACATTAATTGTTTCAGGATTCAAACCCTTAATGAATATGATTTCCAACGTAATCGTCGTGAAAGTGCCCTTAACGCATTAGAAAGCTATGTTTTTGATGCCCAAAATAAGTTGGAAGAGGAGGATTATCAAGCTGCTGCTACCAGTGAAGAAATTGAAAAAATAAGACTTGGTTGCTCTGAGGTTAGAAAATTGAATGTATTATTCAATCTTATGATGCCACTGATTTTTTAAAACCTTTGAAAAACAAGAGAAATATTTTGGTTGTTTGCAAATTTTAACTTATGATGTCATTTTGCAGATCTCAGATTGGTTGTACGAAGATGGTTCTACAGCTGATGCAGAAGCGTATGAAGCCAAGTTATTGGATCTTCAGAAATTGACTAAACCTCTTTATCTCCGGGTTGCAGAGCACCGTGAGAGACCTGACGCAATTGCTGCTTTGCGAACAGTTTTGAATGGTAGCTCTACATTTCTAAAAGATGCTCGTAATGTAACTGCTGCTAAACTAGAAGCAGAAGAAAGTTGGGTTTTCACAGAAATTGAACTTAATACATTAGAGAAACAAATTAAGGAAACAGGGGAGTGGCTGACCAAAATGGAAAAAGAACAAGCTGAACAGAAACGCTCTGAAGCTCCAAAAATGTCTATCAAATCCATCAGTGACAAAATTAATAACCTGGACCGTGAAGTAAAATATTTAGTTAACAAAGCCAAGATCTGGAGACCACCCAAGGCCAAAGAAGATTTGAACAATGGTATTGTACTGGCCACTCCACTTGTGACGCTACTGGTCCTCTTCTGGTCTGGTCGGTTCTGCATCTGTTTGGTCCCCAATGTGGCGGCCCAGTATGCTTTCTAGTAACTTAGGCACAATGAGGAGCCTTATTAGTATAATCTTCGAGTTCTCATGTAATTATAATGAAACCAGAACTAACCAGAAGTCGACCAGGACCGCCGCTAGTGAAACAATTAATTTCTATTCCCTAGTTGTCTTAGCGACCTTGAAATGAATACAGTTAACAATGTTGAATTCTCTTCCAATGTTCAATAGATGCGAAAAACAGCACTGAGAAGAAGAAGGAAACAAAGGAATCAAAAGACTCGAGTGCTGAAGGAAAAGAAGACAAAAAAGAACAGTCTGAAAAATCAACACCCACTGACGGCCCAGAAAAAGTTGCTAAGCCTGATTCCTCAGAAAAAGAAATCCCGGATCCTTCCAAACCAGGTATACCATTGATATTGACATTTTATAGCTTCTCCTGAATAGTTTTTGTGGGGGTTTTTTGATCAGAAGAGGTGAAGTGATTTGATTCTCTTGTCCCCTCTATCTTAGTTAAGTTTGGCATGGTTGTGTTGTGTTATGAAAAAAGTGTGAAGGTGTCTTGTTTAGTCTCTGTGTGTTTGCTTGTCAGAGGAGGATTATTGATAAGCATTTGAGGTGGCTCTGCTGGACATTTCATTTCAGGTGAAACTGTAGAAGGCCCCTCAATTGTTACCTCCGCCGCTGTAGTATTATTCATTCACCTGCTCTTCCACTTCACTTGATCAACAACAACATGCGCTTTTGTGAGTTGCTTTGTTCTCTTGTGCAAAGACTGCTCCTCCATTTGGGGTTACCCCTTATTCTCAACTTGCCTAAACTGCCTGCAGTCATGTCATCTGAAGTGTCCTCACACAAATTAGGTTTTGGTGCATGTATCTGGATGTTTGTTGCAAATTGAGACATACATGTGCTGCTGCATCCAACCTGTTAATTTTGCTGCATGCATGCATGGGTGTATTTTCCGCCACATATCAAAGGTTTATCTTGACATGAAATGAAGAATCGTACCTCACAATTGAATAACATTTTTCCACTTCTCTTTTCAGGTGAATCATCAGATGTTCCACACTCAGAACTTTAGAAAAACTTAATCTAATAACTGTATTCAAGATGTAGCTCCAAATAGGTGATTTTACACACCTTAAATACTGTAATACACATTTTACCATATGGTTTTGTTCTGTGTAATCTACGACAAATTAGTCACTGGAATTACCAAATAATTTAAAATCAGATTGTGTCTATTTGTTTATTCAAGAGACAAAATATAATTGAGAGTGGAATATATGAACTGGTAGCTCAATTCAATTCCGAGTTCAATTCAGTATGAAGGAGAGTGAGCAACTATGTCTCTTAGGTCATGAGACATTGACATTTAGCTAATTTCTTGCTGCTGTTGTCTGCAAACAATTGTATTTCTACCTCATGTATAGCTCTACTCCCTGATTTTGTAACTCTTAATTTGGGAGAAAGTGAACTTTAAGCATTATCACTTTAGACCCGAAACAGTGAAACTTAACACAATGACAAGAGACTGAATGAATGAATGAATGAATCATGCATGAATGAACTGATTTAAGTTCTGAGGATAGAAGCTCGAAAACCAACAATGTTATGCTTAACATCATATGCACATCTAATCATTATTTTTGTAACTTATTGATTTCTAAGAAATCTCCATTAGACAAACAAACTGATGTTGAAAACTTTCCTACTTTGTGGATTATTTTTGTACAGCTAATGGAGCCCTTTTTGAGATCTAACTGGCTTGTTACATACAATTTCTCTTTACCAAAGTACCTACCTACCGTATGTGTATTTTAGATCTTGAGAACCTGCAGAGGCAGAAACTTCCAGATTCCAAACTTCCCATTTATGAAGGTGCTGTACATTAGCCATGCATTTTAGTGTTAGCATTCCACAATTATCATCAATTATGAAGAAACAAGTTTAATATTATTTTTGTTGTGATAGACATGCTATTGGGCATAACTTAACTAAATAAGGAAATGTTTCTTGAAAAGAGGAAGTATCTAATTTTTCTCATGTTGCGATCTCCACACTGGCAGGTCTGCAAGTTTTAACATTTGAAGTGAGTCTGTTTTTCACACTGTGTGCAATGTTAGTGTAATTAATTGCAGAATATCTTCAGAGTCATCAGATGAGAGACCTGCTCCCCCCTTTTACACATGAAAAAAACCCATAAAAAACCTTAATGGTTCAAATTTTTTTCAGTCCTTTCATTCATTAATTTATCACACAATTTTTACTGATATCTGCGAGTTTAATGTAGCGTGTTGTGTTATTCACATGTAAGATATAATTGAGGGATTTACGTGATACAGATATTTTTCTTTTAACAATGTGTCAAACAATTTCCTTTCATTGAAGTTCTTTCAATGAAATTTCTCATTCTTACAGAATGTCATAGGAGCATTAAGTCAATCTCATCCTTAGGGAGTTGACTTCCTGTATTTATTTGGGGTGCTTTATTTATTATATTGGTAACTGAATGGTCTTACAGGATTTAACACCATCATCCTTTTTTCTACCACTCTTATTTCCTTAGTTGTCATGGGTGTAAGTACTACAATATCAACATTTCTTCAAATGCATTCCTAATCCTGACCTGTTTCAAACCAACACCTCCAAACTTGTATTTAACACCCAGTTTGCGTGTGTGTGCAAACGCACAATCAATTTAGGTGTATGGTTTTTTATGCACCCCTAAACAAAGAGATTTTAAGCAGACTATCAGTAAGCTTTTTTTACAAACACAACTGTTTGAGTGTTTGATTCCGAAGTTTCATTCTCACGTGTTAACATTTTCCCCCCTGTCTAGCAATATTCCTCAGGGGCTCATTATAGAAAGTTATCAATGTTTGTCACTGAAAAGTGAAATATTTGTGATGTTATTTATTTTGCTGCCTGTGTATTGTTTTTTTCACACAATTGTGAAATGGCAGGAACATTAATGCGGCTTTGTCAATAAGTTTAATACACAGTTCCATCTGTGTTCGATTTCTGTGATTTACTGTTTTCTTGCTGTAAGTCTGCTTCAATAAGAAAGAAAGACGAAACTATTGTGAAAACTTCATGTACTTCTGAGATGAAAATAAAAAGTGAAACTAAATTTTACCCTGCTTAATAATTTATTTTAGAGACAATGAGGTCTCAAGACCTAAAGAGTGGGGGATTTAACAATAAATATGAATGTCTAATTTGGCACAAACTGTTGAAAAAAGATAGGGAAATTTTTGTCTTAGTCTATTTACCCACTATGCACATACATTGATTAGTGTGCCATTCATACAGAAGAGTTGGCCTCAGCATCTCCCACATCATTTACTGGGGCATCCTCAAAAATATCAATTGGTCTAATTTCACTGACACCTATTTCTTCAATTTCATTTTTGTCTCCTTCCTTCCATTCTCTTTCATAAAGCTCCCCCAATTTCAAAACGTATGTCTCTTGAAGTAGAAGTAACTCTTCTTCAGACTTTTTGTTGGCTGCACTCTCTTCTTCTACCTAGAACACAATGTTCCAGATAAATTAAGCTTCAACAGCTGCAAATTTTTCAAAAAAGGAAGCACTAGCTGAGTCAAAAAACGATACCTTATTCAAGGCAGAATTGAGACGTTCACACATCAATGTACTAGAATGCTCAGCCCCTGCTAAATATGCCGTTTCAGCAGTGGAAGTAACCATCTTCTCAACATAACCCATCAATGAAATAAGTTCCTGAGAAAATATAGTAACTGTTTAATTTATAATAAGGTTTTGTAAAACTAAAACAGTGTACCAGAAAATTTTGAAAATTGCACATACAAGTAAAAGTTTACGCTTTTCATCAACAAAATTTCGCTGTTCCACAATCTTGTCTTCTACATCATTTAAAGAGGAAATTCTTGAGTTTGTGAGAAGCAGCAGACTTTCCTCCATTAACACCATAAGTTCTGAAATTGCTTTACTAAATGGAATAATTTTTAAAGTATACCATCTACAGGCTCCTTCATTAAACACAGTATTGGTTTACCTTACCGATATTCTTGACTTGTATCATCAATAGCAATTAGAACTTGTGTGAGTAATTGAGTCGAGGAATTGGTAGTTAAAGTACATGCTTGTCTAATGAGTGCCTCGTGTGTCATTTCTTTATGACTTAGAAGCTGAAAGAAACAATAAACGTAATGATATGTAGTATAAACGAATGTGTATTAAATTTCAGCTGAACGAATGGAATGACAACTTATGCATATGAAGTATGGACCTTCAATTGTGTCGGTGTGTTTGCTCCCTTTTCATCCACACAAGCTGAGGCCAAAAGGAGAGAGAATGAAGTGCATGGTCTCTTAACAGACTGCACTCCCCGTCTAAAGAGGCTCCTCAACTGCAAAAAAAAATAACAATGAAATAGGGAGTTCGACATGTATATCGATGGCTGACACCTGTCCACAGGAAGGGGTGGACGAAAAATATATTTGTTGAAGGCGAACTGAAATTATAACCTAGACCACGAGACTTGACATGAAGAGGTCACTTAGTTTCAAAACTAAAGGAAACAAAAAGGGTCACTTTGGGACTAGTAAAAGTAAGTAAAAGGTTAATATTTGAAAATTTACGTTCGATAGCTTTTATCATCGTGCTTTTAAGTGGTGTACAGACCATGTTCATGCGCGACGCCATTTGTAAACCGGCATTGTCAACACATCTTAGGTGCAAACCTGACTGAACAAAAATATTAATGTGTTTCAAAAAAGTGTAAGAAAATTTAAAAAAATAATTCCTATTTTAAATTTTAATTTAAAAGATTGTTGAATTTTTCAATAAAATACCAACTTGTAAAAGAATTTGAGGCTGCCTCTCAAGGAATGTTTCTGCGTATTGGGTGGCTAACTTGTAAGCTTTGGCGTCTGCTTCTGTCAGGCTGAAAAATCACAACACACCGCCATTTTGTGGTAATTTGCTAAATTTTGACTTTTTTAAGTCAGTAAACTGTATCGGAATCGATTTTAACATATTAATAAGGTAAGTGGATCAGAATGGTTGTCCTGTTATCCTTGGCATGATCTATTATCTGTTTATGAATGGGAAAAATTTAATTCAGAAATTTTGTGTTATTGTACCTCTGTGTTGTTCAGCAGTATATATGGATTAAATAGACGGTTTTCATTTTATAATGTCCTCTGAATCATACTTTAGAGATTGATTATTGACAATATATGTTGATACATTTTTGATGGAAAAGAAAAGATTTTATGTGGTCATCATATTATATTGTTTACAAGTAATTAATGTTGTTGAAGGTTGCAACTACTAAACGTTAGATGTCCGTTGGAAGTGGAGGCTTGGGGACTGTTTACTCACGTCTTCCTCAGTCCACCAGTGACGTTGAGACTTCTGAAGACGAGGTGAGCCAACATGAAAACCTCATCTTTTACCGTAAAATGGGTACGCCCAAGAAGGGGAATTTGAAGAAAGAAGAAAACTGTAAGTTATATGGAAGACCCAATGCTCTTATTTGGTTTTATCCTTATTTTTAAGTTTTATGTGTTGTAATGTCCCTAATCTTTCTTTCATTTTATAATTTTTAGCTACTACCACAATGAAGGATTATCAACCCTTAGGCCACGAAGGTGGCCCAGTGGAAAGTCATGAAGTGCACATCAATGGTTTCAGCAACATTAACTACAACTATCCTCATGGCACTGGAGGTCATGGGGCAGAAGAAGAAACCATGGTGTTGGGCACAATAGGTGGATCAGGAACATCTGGTAATAAAAAAGAGGGTGAAGGAAGGCACGGTAATCTGCAAATGCTGGCTGGCAACAGACATCCAATGTCTTTGATGCGTCAAGTGGCATTTGTCATGTCTCTTTGTCTGTGTATTTTCGTCATTGTTGCCTTTCTGTGGGTTCTTCCCTGCAATTGGTCTGCTTGTCCCATCATGCAATATGACAAGCAAGGTGGAAGCTCGTGGGAAAGAACTTTACACCGCCTAGGTAGGTGAAAGCAGTGGAAGCATTCAGAAAAAAGTTGAAGCATTTCTATATTCTGTTTGCAATTGTTTTCTTTGACATATTCCCTATTCAGAACTGATTGGAGGAATCAGTGTTGTACCAAGTGGCAATGAACAGCACAACAACCTCTTATTCATGATTCGGGGAGAAATTAATATTCCTGACCGTGACAAAGAACAAGAAACAACTGTGTTTACAAATCCAATAAGATTCGCTACCAGAAAAGAGGAACCGACCCCTATTCCAGCTAGTGGTGGTGGTCTTGTTGCTTTGATGGGTTCTACAGGCACTGTGGTGTGGTATGTTAGTGTTTTGTGTTTTCAGTCAACTAAAATTAATTGCAGATTCATCTAAAACATGTTCTTTGCCACTAGGTATAAGACTCTTCATTCAGTTCCAAGAGACATGGACTGTTCCCTTATTGATTTAGATGCGGATGGGAAAACAGACTGTCTGTTGATTGGCTCCAATGATCTCATGTATGCCTTTAATCCAGTGTCTCGTAAGTAATTTTATCTATTAGGCTATTAATTAATGAACTGCTGTAATGTATTGTAATTACAATAATGAACTTGGGTTGTGGTCAACTTAAAAAATCAATGCATTCAACATTTTATAGCTACTACAATTTGGTTCCTTCATGCGGAAAAAGAAACTGACTACATTCCATCTGATATGGAGTTTCCTCTCATATTACCTGACATTGATGAAGATGGTATACTTGATCTAGCTATAGCTTGTAGAATGCTCAAACGGGAGTTCACAAATACCTCTGACAAAACTCCATCGATTTCATCAAAGACACCCCACAATCGCATTGCTATTGTGTCTGGAAAAACTGGAAAACTCATAGGCAAAGCATTTGTTGATGGAGCATGTCAAACTGTTTATAAGTTGGCTGTGGATAAAGATTGGTTTATAACATATAGATGTGTGGACAACAGAGGAAAAGGTAAGCCGGGCATCTGAATGATTGACATAAAAGTGATTTCCTGACTAACTCTTCAATTTTTTTTACAGAGTCTGTGAAAGATATTGCCTTGAATATCCTTTACAGAAATGTAACTGGAAATCACTCATCTGTGGCTCCTGTTGATTATGGCAAACATCTCGGTGGTGGGCCTTCTTTGAGACAACATATTTTCTCTCAAAATTATGGTCCCCCCGATCCTATTTTAGGAAATGGTGAACCACAGCTTCAGAATAATAAACCAACAACATTCTCAGTCCGTGGGAAAAAATTGACAATACTAAATACAGGTCATTGTCCTGATGATTGCACAGCTTCTGCCCGAGTATTTGATGAAAAGGTAAACTGCTAAAGTTTGAAGCTTATTATTTTTTTTGACATTGTTTCATGCTTTTACTGAATTCCTTTATTTTCAATTCACATTGTTTATTCATTTTACAGAAGGGTCTAAACAATTCTATTTGGAGTGATGGAGGGAATAAGATGTATGCTCTACGTCCCGCAATATTACTTTTTAATTCACAAGTGTCTGCTGTTGCTTCAAATGAAAAGTTTGATCGAACAAGCTCAGATTTCAGTTTAGGCCCAGTGAGTGGTTTTGCTGTGAAATTTTGGCATTGGACTAGTTGTGAAAAAACATCTGTATGGTCAACTCAACGGTTCGTATTAGTTCTTAAATTTTCTCCCTTCCTGCCATGCAAAACATAAATCTTTATTATTATTATTATTATTATTTAATTTTAGAAAGCAACTAAAGAGAATGATAAAAGATAAAGATTGGGGTGGTATTTTACAACCAAATGATCACTGGCATGATGGTACCTCAGAACAAAAACCACCAGAATACATTGAATCTCGAGAATCTCGCATTGGTAGCACTGGAATAAATACAACCACGAAGAGTCTCAGCAGAAATGCAAGCACTGTTACAGTAACATATCATCCAAAAGAAGTGTATAGTGCATTTTGCTTGAAAGAGCGAATTGTTCTTGTTACTTTTAATGATACTGATATGCACCTTGTCAATGCTAGTGAAAGTGAAATCAAACAATTATGTTCAAATGCTGGGTGCCAGCCAAGTCTACCATATCAGGAGCAGTCATGTAAGTTCAGCACACAGTTTTCACCTGCAAGTACAAACAACTTTGTGTTTATTTGTTTATACCTGATTATTTTATTTCAGTGATTATTGCTGACCTGGATGGAGATGGCTCTAAGGAACTTGTTTCATATTTAACAACATACGAAACTGAAGAGGATGGAAAACCCCCAGGGTCAGATCGCCTCATACTTGTGTCTAAAGTACGAGTTGTGCGTCTAGAGGCTGAACTACCCAAGCTCTATGAAGCTGTCACCCATTTATAGGTCAAAGGATCTCACTCATAGAAACTTTGAAATATGTTTAAGTACTTTGTAACATTTTGATGTACCAATTGAAATGTCAATACTCTCATCCTTATTTCCTTCAAAGAAACCACTCCAGTACTTTAAGATATTGTAAACTTAACATTAATTTATTTCATCTCTTTGATAATTGATAATGATTGAATGAGAGTTCTTGCACCTCCGACCACTCTCATCTTACAACGATTTGTAGATAATTTATCCATTGCACTGATATATCTATTATTGAAAGGTAATTGCAATACGTTTTGATTATGTTGTACTTTTTTTTTCAGATTAAGTATAACAGTTTGTGAGGAAGTTTCTTGCATGTTTTACATCTTTTCACTCGACAGACTATAGCAAGTGCATACTTATTAGTTATTTAATCCTTGTACTTTGAACAACAGCAAGACAAACTGTTTTTGTTTTAAGACTTAACTGTGATTGATAAAAACTGAAGGAGAGGTAAAAATGTATGTATGAGGATTTTTCTCTTACGCGATAGTTTAGCTTTTTCTCTGATATTATTTTTTAAATCTAGTCTTGATTGATTTCATGATTTATCAGTATTTCAGGCTGTACCAACTACCTAATTTAGTTCTGTTATCAATTCAGAAGCCCAGGTAGTGACTTATTAGTAGTTATTATTACTGACATATCTTTTCTAGTCACTTAAAATAAATACTTGTTCCTTTTAAGTTTTACCCAATATGTGGATATGGTCTTACATATAAGTTTTATTAGTTTGGTAGGAAATTTGATACAATGTTGGAGAAGGATGGCAATCAAATATAAATGAGTGTTTGTTACTTTTACTGGGAATTAATACTCTAACCACAATGGTGGTGTATTAGCATTCTAGACCTTTCCTCAAAGGCTGCTTTGCTGTTTCCATGCCTTGCATGCATCTGTGATGTTCACTGAGTTATATAATAATTCCTATGTCATTCTAGACACAAATTATTTTAAATTGTACATTCATATTGCTTTGTTTGATAAACTGCAAGTTTTTCTACATCCAGTACTTTTTTAAGATAAAAAAAAATCATGCTCTCTAGTCATTAAAACCTGTTTTACATTTAAGAGTTTGTTATGTAGTTTTCAATAAAAGCTTTGATTTCCTTGCAACAATCCACAAAATATCGGCTGCGACTTTTAACTTACTGATATCTATTTTTATTCGTTTTTGGTGAGTGTGTGTGTTTGGTACTTTGGCACAGGAAGAAGCCTTTTGCTGATAGAACAGTCCATCAGCCAGTCAGAAAACTCAAAGGCTACTTTGGGTGGAAAGGGATTTTTAATAATGTAGGTCTCTAAATTGTAATCCTTTTAATTTCCTTAATCCTTATCAAAATGCATTAGATAGATAATCACAGTAGTTTTCATCAAAAACTGATTTGAATTATTTATTTATTGGGACAGCCTGTTTTGCACAATCACCCTCCTTTTTATCACAACATGGTTTGTAGTTGGGAGTCCAGGGTCCAAGGCTACTTGAAGCATAAAAATCCATGGGATAATTTGCCTTGTCAACCCCAACAGTCTGCCATTCAGCTCTTGCATTACCAAGGGCCACAGCACATTCATATGGCGTAAGTAAGGGTTTGGGAAAAGCAGTACCCCAGTCAATGGAAAGTCGGGGGCATGCTACTTGTACCCAAGCTCCAACAGATGAAAACAGCTTAATTTTTTCAGGAAATATTTCAGAAAGTAGAACTATTACACTCTCTTTATTGAGATTCTGTAAGTCTTTCTGAAAATGAGTCGGAAAGGCATACGTCATTTAAAAAAAAGTAATTACTGAATTCTTGTTGGAAAATAAATGAAGGGCCAGATAATATCAAAACCCACCTGTATATTTTCTAACACTCTTGTACTTCCTTGTCTACCAAGGGTACCAAGAATAAGTCCAAACCGAGATTGGTTACTAGCAAAATTAATGGCCTCACTTCGCTGCTTCCGCATTATTAAGTGATCATAAAACTCTTCAGTAAATTTTTTTTCATACGGATCATATCTAAGATTAGAAATGTCTATGTAAGTATCAAGAAATTTGAATATTTAGATGGAACTTTGGCAGGCTACTCACCGGAAAGCTCTAAGTGCAGGATTTGCTATCATTGCTGACTCTAGATGAAATCTTCCATCTCCAAGGTAGATGATAATGTCCACATCATTCATTTTAGGTGATGTGCAACCTAATATTTCTCCAGGAGAGAGAGGCTTTGATTGAGGAACAGACACAGAGTAACCTGATTCCCTCAGCTTACCAGCAGCAGCATGAAGAGTCGTAGCAAACTGAATAGTACTGACAATACCCAGTTTAGATGAAGTACCGAAGTTCTTCTGAACCGTCTCCAGAAAATGAAGAATGTCAATTTTAATATCAACAAATATGTAAAGAACTTTAATGCCTCCTGTTTGGTCTATTGGGATAAGACAACTATGCCCATAATGCACCAATAGGTCAACTCCTAAGGCTCTAGCAGTGTAGTCATCGATACAGCAAGCTCCATACGTAACATCACCCATTATGACAGTATCTGCTTCAGTGAAGTTTTCAATGATATCACAAATGGTAGTCGCAAACATTAGCAAGCCCTCTGGCATTTGAAGAGCAACTCGCTTTGACCCAAGATGTCGAATTCTCCACACTGTTTTGTGAACTTCAAAGTTGTAATTCTTTGGCAATGCATTAATTGCTAGGTTGAGTTCTGGATTATTCATTATATCATCTGGAATCTTGTTAACAGACCTTACAGGTGCTCTAAAAACTTTGCGCTCTTCTTTAGGTTTGGCCACTATTTCCTTGTGGTCTGACATGATGACGTCTGAAAGTTGACTCTTTTTCAATGTGTTAGAACATCTTGGAGTTTTTTTCATGTGATGTCTTCATAACGAACCAAAGCAATAACAACACACTTAACAAAATAATGCACGAGTTGAAGCAGCCAACAGCCATCCGCTAGAGTTTAAGGGTTGTAGTTATTCGCAGATTCAGATTAATATGAAAAATTGTTAAGTTCACCGCCTTCCCTTTACTGCAGAACTGCAGAATGTTTGTAATACTCCTCCCCCTTTCCTCACACCCCCTCTCCCCTCCCCCTCGTCTTATGGGGTAGTTTTCAGGTGTTTGAAAAGCTTTTAAGGGTGCGGGGGAGAGGGTTTGTAAAGAGTATGCACGAAAACTTATGTGATAAATCTGGGTAGCTAGTGTAATGGGTGCTGTTATTGCGTAAACTTGTAATGACACGAGCTCTCATTATGCAAGGGAATGGAATTTTTATGAATGGAGAGTTCAGCTCAGACCCAATGGACCAGTAACATACAATGGAGACACTATGGTGACATCTATTTGGTACGTTTTTCAAGCTGCTTTTTATCGTCTTCGGACTCCAATATAGGTAGATAACTCGTTCTGGTGTCTGTCTGAGACTTAACCTTTTCTTCTGTTTGTAGACTGAGACTGATTCGCCAGTCACTATGGATAGGGTTGAAGTTCTGACTGAGGCCGCCTCTGCTGGGGCTGCTGCTTCTGCTTCTGCTGCACAAGTACCCAGTCAGTCTCAGCTGAAAACGAGAGAGGCCAAATGTAATAAGACTGCTGACGATGTAGTGAAAATTAGCAAGACATCTGATTCAAACGGCCACCGCAATGAACTTACAAGTGTTGTGCGTGACTGTGCTGCAGAAGAATTAGCAACTGCTTTCGAGGTTAAGGTGAACCTTGCAAATGAACACTTGGTGAATGGGTTCACTAATGGAATCCAACAGGAAACCATGACAAAGGAATGTAATTGCGCTAAAAGCGACGTGAAGCCACTTAGTGAAAGCTCTAGTCCTTGTGAGTGCGTCATTCCAGCTTTGGTGCACAACGGCTCCCCCAACCTTTCACAGGGGTCCTCTGATATTGTCAATAGAGACCCCGAGACAAGGGGCATATCTCAAAATCATGGTATAGTGTATGTATCTTACGAATCAGAGCTACAAATGCCAGACATTATGCGAATCATGAACAAGGATCTTTCAGAACCATACTCAATCTACACTTACCGTTACTTCATTTATAACTGGCCAAAGCTGTGTTTCCTGGTAAGTTCAAATATTTGTTTTCCCTAACTTCAATGTCTAATGGTTTACTTCTCAGTAAATTTTATAATTTTTATGAATACCTTTCTCAATTTTGAACTTGTTTTTAATTTTGCTGTCTCTGCTCAGGCTATGATAGGGTCAGAGTGTGTAGGAGCCATTGTATGCAAGTTGGACCTCAATCTGAAATCTGCCAAAAGAGGTTACATAGCAATGTTGGCTGTTGACAGTAACCATCGGAACAAGGGAATAGGTAAATGATGTAGTATTTATGTGCTTGTTGTACTGGTCTATCACCAGATTAGAACTAAAATATTTCTTTTCTTTGATCAGGCTCCAACTTGGTCTTGAAAGCAATTGGTGCAATGGTTGCTCTTAATGCAGATGAGGTAAGCAAGTACTGCACTGATGAATGTGCTTCAGTTATTCTAACGGTCAATCTTTGTTTTAATCTTTTTATACTCATTTTTTCCCCCTCAGGTTGTGCTGGAATCTGAGATAACCAATTCACCCGCCCTACGTTTGTATGAAAATCTCGGCTTTGTCAGAGACAAACGACTCTTCAGGTACTATCTGAATGGTGTAGATGCTTTTCGTTTAAAACTGTGGTTGAAATGAAATTAGATTAGGAGTTGGTAATGAACTTTTTGATAATACCTGTTGAATAAAATTTTGTGATTGGTCTAATCAGTTAAAATTGCAATTTCAACTTCCCTGAAGTCCAAACCAAAGATAGAATGTGAACAGGTAAACAAACACTTGGACCATATTATTTCTTGCTTTGTGTGTTCTCTCAAGCCCCAATTCTTTGACTATCATGTGATGTTGTAAGTGTTGAAATATCTATTGTCTGTTGTTATATGTAAAAACGATAATGTAGTAAGGTATGAAACTTGTTTTGAGTGTTGTAATTGGTTTCAGTACATTTGCTCATGAAGTACAGCTGGACTCATTGGACTTTTTCTTCCAAACTCTTATCCCATTTGCTAAAATTCTGAAGTCACAGTTTGTTTTTTGTTTAGTTTTGCTTCTCACTTATTTTGAATGTGAGATGTCCCACATTAAGAAAACTTCTGCATCAAGTTTTTCCTTTAGTCATTGACCTGTGGTTTTTGGGACCTTTTGATTAGGGAAAGAAAGTTAATTACTTTCATAATTTTGTCGAAAAATGTCCCTCTATCCAAATGGCTTGTCAGTGCACTATCATGTTTTAATGAATGGTTTTATCAACATAATCTAGGTAGCCACATTATTGTGACTTCATCTTAATCTGTGATGGCAAACTGTTGGCTTCTACTCATGAATACAACTAAATTTGTGCATAGTGTAAAGTTCTAAGATAACTTTGCCTTGGTTTACTTCCACTTGTCTTACATTTTGGAAAATGTGATAGACAACAATAACAAAAGATGAATAAAATCACTTTGTAATATCTAAGCCATTGTATTCTATATGAGAGTAAATCTATCTTATTGTAATAAAATCCCCAGCAGCGCCAGTCAACTATTTTTCACATTAGATTTTAATGCCAGAACTGATTACACTAGCACAAAATGATCCTCCGAAAATTGTTTCCACCAATAATTGAACAACTTCAATGTTTCTTTAGATTCTGTGTTTTGTTTTTAACAGATTTGACTAAAAGAGATAGTTCTGCATCCTTCTTAGACTTTTTAGGAGGAGCACTTTGGATGTGATCTGAAACCTGTTAATGACTCAATTTAGAGGCAGCACTTACTAGCAACTAATGCATGGGAAGTTGGTATATTTCTACAATACTGTTACCTCAAGACTTGAATCAGCGAGCCTCTTCTGCTTAGTTGAGATCAGAGCTTCCATTCCATTACTCTTGCGGAAATGGGGATCAGTGGGATCAATATTATAGAGGTGAGAAGAATATAATGCAGAAAATCTGCTGTCATCCACATTAATCTGAAAGGAAAGGTCAAAATTATTTCACTTTACCACCCCTTGTTTTGAATGGTTGTTTAGGTCATTACCTTGAAGTCATCTTCAGGAGTTTCTTTCTTGGAAAGCTCTTTCCCTTTCTTTCGTCGTGCTTTTCGTTTACTTTTAGACCCAGTTTCCTCCTCTTGAATTTTCTTGAAGTTAAAATGTTTTGGTTCATCCTTGTCCAGGAGCAATAGCTCAAGCTCGGCCTGGATTAAGTTAGGAAAATGTTAAGTGATTCATACAAGAGGCTTCCTACATGAATAGCTCAACATAAGAGAAGAAAACATTTACTTACCTTACTCTGCAGTTGTTCATCGGTTTCTTCAAAATCTTCTTTCTTCTTCTTTCCCTTATTTTTCTTAGGCTTACTTTTCATGTCTTTGAATTCTTCAGCAAAGTAAGGGTCATTCATATCGATATCTGAAGGAATCTCATCGTCAGAAGAAATCCCTCCATTCTCATCATCTTCGGACTTCTGCATCTGAAACATACAAGAGATCAAATTGAAATCAGTGCAGCCAATTTATAAATAAAATTGAAAACTCCACTATATTAGTCACTGACCTTCTTCTGTATCTTTTGCTTTTTCTTCTCTAAGCGCTTCTGTTTCCGTTTTTCCATCATTTCTTGGAAAGGTGTAAGTTCTTTAGAATTTGCCATTTTCTTCTTCACTGCCTCTTCAGCTTTCTCTTTTAGACCTAATCCCCATGATATTTCCATATGTACATCTTTATTTTTTCTTTCTTTCTCGTCTTCCTCAATTCCACTAAGTAGGGATCGATACTTTGCAATAGGGTCTTCATCATCACTACTTGGCTCACTATTACTTTGTTTGCCATCCACAATGTTCTGGTTTCTTTTTCCTGTATCCAAGACAGCATAGGTAAAAAAAGAAAAGACAATTGAAGAATGAAATTGTTGATTTTTGTCACCCAAACAGTACCTCTCTGGACCTTATCCTGCTCCTCTGCACTATTTTCTTCATCACTGGATGAAGCTAGGTATGCTTGTAGGTCTTTGTCATCAACTGTATCCCCAGCCATTAAGCGACTTGCAATTTCTGACCTTGTAGGATCTGTCTCATCCCAAGTCAGTTCAACTTTTGCTTGTTGCAAAGCAGTGGTTGTGAAATTCCGAGGCTTATATTTACCAGCATCAGGCATTCCTGTGCATGTTTCTCGTGGATCCTTTAAGCAAAATTTTCATTTCAATTTTACTTTCTTTCTTACTTACTTTTACATATGTAAGACTAAGTAGTGAAGTTTACCTGTTCAAAAGTAGTGTCGTCTGGAACAAAACGCAAGTCTAGTCGCGTAGCACTGCTCTCATATTCCATTCCATCACACTCTGTGTAAATGTTATTGGCAGTATTTGGAGAGTCACATTCAACAATAGCATAAAAATATTTTAATCTGTTTAACTGATATTTACGCAGTTTTTCCATGTGGTAACTGCTGCCTTCCTCATTCTGACAAAAAAAAAAAAATTCTGATATACCTTTAAATTTAGAGAGAAAGCAAGGAGTAGGAAAAATAACTCATACCTCATCAATGGGACCTTCATCATCATCACCACTGTCACTATCATCATCCTCAGCCTCTGTATACTTTTTCTGATTTTTTGATGCCTGCTTCACTAATTCTGTAGGACCTTGCACATCTTCCGTTTTCATTCTTTCCAGTCCGAATTCAGAGGGGTAAATCTAGATATGAAAATAGTTAAGATTAAAAAATGACAACTCAGCCAAAACATCCCCTCTTCTAAAAGCAATTAGTACTAACTGTAACTGAGCGAATCAATCCACCAGTGGGAGTAAACGAGTTCAGAAGAACCATAAGGTCCACTGCTCTTATGCGATCCCAATCCATGTTACAAACAGCCAAGCGGGATGTTACTTCATCTGTCCTCTCTGCATCTTTATCAAGTTCTCCCCAGCCATGCTCAGGAGTTTCATCTACCTCTAACAGAGCAAGACCACAAAATAATTAGGTTGATAATAATATGCAGTAAGTATGATTGAGAAAAAAATTAATAAACAAAATGGATGAATAATTACCATCTCCGCTACTTTCTTCATCGGACGAACTATCTGTTAGAATGGCACCTTCACCTCTAGCATAGTCCACAGATACATCCCGTAACTTTGATCTTATTTTGTCATTGAGCTCCTCATCATCACTCCTAACACTTCCCTCATTATCCTCCACAAGTTTAGTTTCAGAAGTGCTTTGAACTTCGTCTCCACTATCATCAGAAGTCGTGTCATCTGATTCTCCATCCTGCAGGACAGCATCCAACTTCGGTTTACTTTTATTTTTCCTGTGGAGGCAAAACCCAATTGATGGTGATGAAAAATCAAATATAGGGTACTTGGAGGGACTAACCCTTATCTAACAAACTTACAAGGAGGCCACATCATTCTTATCATCATCTACATCGTCACTGTCTTCTGAGTCGCTGCTACCTGATGACAAATCATAAAAGCGCTCCAAATCCTCATTTGAAGTTTTAGGAGTAGGTCGACCTCTTTTATCTACAGTGTACTTTGTTTTAAATCGTTTATCTTCAAACATAGCTTTGAAACGTTTATCAATTTTCACTTTGCGTTGAGATCGTGGAATAGATTTGAATCTGGGATCGTTCGCGATGTGCGAAAATCGCGCATCGTTGATAGCATCCCCCATGATGGTGGAGACTGAAATGCAGCAATGTAAAATTGAAGCATAAGATTAACAGGGGTGCAATACATGAGAAGAGGCACAGAAAGAAACAGAAACAATGAAAGGAATGACTAGGTTAACAAGTTTCATGAGGTCAAAGCAGACAAGTCAACGCTTTTAAAACCATGAAAGTGGATGAAAACAGGTAGAAAACTTTCGAAGTTACCTTCTCAGACTCTTGGATTTCAAATTCAGTCTAGTTATTGTTTCTAAATCTTCACAGAAGTGAAGTGACACCAGTTTCACGTGTATCACAACACAACTAACCTGTGGTGCACATAAGTGATTTTTCTTTATTTACAGTTAGGTATGAAAAATTCTACGCTGCAGCTACAGCAGCATCAGCAGCAGAAGAAAGGGGAAATATCAAGAAAAGGGTATGCAGCTTTATTTATTTGTGATTTGTGAGTGTATTTCATTGATTGAATGGCATGAATCTCACTACAATGGTAAATAATAATAACATATTTACTATGGAGATTCAAACATTTGAAGCCATGTTGGAAATGTTTTTACACATAGTTTTAACGTCCTAATAATTCATAAGTGTGCTAGCAAAATGGAGGTGTATTCTTCTGAAAACATCTTACAATTGCTTAGTTGACCCATTAGACCTACTGTAAATCTAGCGTATGTAGCTGTAAATTAGAAGAGCACAGCGGGGTACATCAAACAATGAATAATTAAATAAAAATATCACAGAGTATAAGACTATTTTGGATGATGAACCTAATCAGAATAAAAGACGTAAGACATGAAAAAGACATGAAATAATGTATCATATCCATACTAAATCATCATTTAAATGGTTGAAAAAACTCTTCTTATGACACATCATGTCTATTTTACCACATAAAGGCTAATTTTTGTTGCTACTTTCTCGGCAGTTATCCATTTGATAGTTGTGGGTGTTAAACACAATCAATATTGATAACTAATAAATTCACCACCTCCAAATAATTGTTGAATTTTTGCCTAATCAAATAAATTTGTCTTTGGCATAACAGATTGACATCACAGGCACTTTAAAGAAAATAAAGATTTTCTTCAAACTAAGACAGAAATTTCCTAGTAATCAAAGAAATGCACATGTCTTCTAGTAGCAGTACTAGAGATATTCCCAAGATAGATTGTACGCATTACATCATAAAGGAGAGTGCTCAAAGCATATGTTCAAAAATAACTCTCAAGATAAATTATGGCACATAAACTTCCACTTGTAAAAGCTTTCTTCTTCCCCAACTCTCTTTGAACATCTTTAAAGGTACTCCATTCAGCATCCTCAATAGAAAAACAACAGTGAATACTGTCAGTCAAATAAAGGAAATGCACGATTAGCATAGAAGTCTGACAAACCATCTTACTTGCTTTGGCCTGCTTAGCATAAGCGGATTATAAATCATGCAATAATTGAAAATGGAAGGAAGAATCAGGCAAAAAATTAACCAAAAGTTGAAAGATATCACAATAGCAACCTTTAAAATAATCACAATCAGTATACAAATTCTTACTTATTGATATATTATAAATTATACATATGTAATACGGACAGATTTTGATTCAGAAACTGATGTTTTTGAAACAAAGGCCATTTTTAAATTGTGCTGAATAAAGTTGAAAAGTTTACATCAAGTCATAAAATGTAAGTATCTTAAAGTTTAGCGACTAGTCGTCCCACTCAAGTAGTGTCACATCACAGCATCTTCCTTCAAAAACCAAACACCATTCAAAAACTTCTTTCTTATGAGAAAAAGTTAAATGTACAGTTAGCGATGGTGCATCTAATATGTGTGATAAAGAGAGCAAACTGACAATTTCTACAGATAATTAGATGCCGAGTTTAGTCTGCTACCATATTGGGAAGAATAGCAGAACTTTTATTCTTGAAACAATAGTCTAAACCTTTGCCATGACTACAAGTGTCCAAATCTGAAAAGTTCATGACCAGGATGGCTAGACCAACTCCTGCTACAATGAGTCCAAACAGAGCAAGACCAACGGCTGGAAGTTTCTGCCTAGAGAAAATTGATCCTTGTTCAAGTTTCAAGTAGCATATAGCTGGGAGAACAAATGCAAGTGGAACAGCAGCTAAAACTCCCTGAAAGCGGAAAACACAAAGAAGTCAGTAGTTTCAATTGAGATTTTTAATGTGACTCTAAGTAAAATAAAATATAGTAAATATTCTTACATTTAGTTCAAGAACAACTCCCAAGCAATCTGTTGACATAGATAAGAAATAAGTAACAGTCACAATTGCCAATGTTATGGCTATATGCCGATACCATGCAGCTTGCTCATTGCCCATTTCCTTGTCTCTAGGAAAGAAGGTGGTAATGACTACTTCTCGTGTGACAAGACATTCAATAGGATATGTCAAGAGAATTGTTCCACTGAACATTAGACGAGAGACATTCATAAGGTCATCATCCCAACAATAATTTTCAAGCAAATCTCCTGTAATAGATAAAGGTTGCCCTTTGATATGTTGTATACAGGGAACAATTATCTTAAGTATCGAGTAATGAAACTACCTTGTGAAAGTCCTGTGAAAGTGGCATAACCAGCAATTCCAAACATTGCTGAGACAACAAAAGATGCAAAAAGTGAGGCATGAGTCACCCTATCCCATTTCTTCTGAGATGCGTTCTCAATGGATCCGTATATGAGAAATGTGTTGTGATGGCACATAAATGCTGTGAAAAGAAAACACATTTGTTATAAAATTTGAATTCATTCTTCTGTTTGTAAACCCATTATTTCAATTGATGCAGTAATGTCTTACCAAATGACATAATTCCTATGGCTGGTATAATATCCCAGTTAGCAAATCTAAAGGCATCAGGTGTAGACGGTCTGAAAAATTGAGAAGCTTATTATTTTCTGATACATTTTGTTGCTTAAAAGGAAGCAACATTACATAACATTTCTTTAAGGTATTTGAAGGAAATATATATGATTAAATACTTACACAGAATCCCTTAATGTAAATAATCGTATTAAAATGGTGATTAAAATGAGGCAAACAAAGAGGAGAGACAAGAATGATATCTTGGCCAATTTCACAATATCACGGTATAAACAAAGAGGTATTGTGAGGAAAATTGTTGCAAGACCAATGACCATCCATCGCTGTGCCATTATGGAAGTACTCTCCAAGTGGAAAAGCCTCATGAACACCTTAGTTACCGTATCTCCAACTACTACATTGTAGCTGACCATAGCTGTACCAAAACATTAGTTTTTAGTAATAAGTAGTAATAAAAATATTTAAAAAAAAGAATCAACAGGATATTTGTTATTTACCAATGAAAGGGTAGCAAAATTGCAAAAATGACAAAAGAATAAAACCTCCTCTGCCAAAAGCTGCTTCGGTAATGCCTTGGTATGAATAAGCACCACTTAAATGCCCACTGCGCACCATCAGTATCAGAGAGTAATCAGTAACTACAGCAACTAGAATGAGTAAGAGTAATCCAAGTCCAAATCCTGCCTGGTGCAGAGCATAGGGAATTCCTTCAAACAACCACAAAAAGACATTAGTAAACTAATAACTCAAACTTAATAGGAATTTCACTTTTTTCCAAAATGTTTTCCCACCTATTACTCCACTGCCGATGATGGAATTTATATAGTTGAAGCTGGCAGACAGGAGACCGCTTCGCGCCAGCTCATCGTCGGAGGTCTAAATAAAATAAACACATTTATAATTAGTTCCGTTGGTTTTCCTGGTTTTACTTTGGGTGCACATTAAACACTAATAATACTCACAGATTGGACCAACTGCTTGGTGTCTGCCTCCATTGAATCGGGGGAGCCATCCAAACTTCCCCGCTGAAACCATCAAGAAAGCGGTAATTAGAAAGAGGATTACTGCCACAGGCCACCCGCCCAAAAGACTTGCTACTGAGTTGCCTATTCTTCAGGTTCGCTTGAGCCCCTACGACACCGCAGTGTTTCATAGGGTTTGGCTGTTTGCCTTCGACAGGGGCCATAGCGCCTTAGAGATCATCCATAAAGTTCGTCCGTCATTCGTCATTATACGAACTTCTCGATAGTTCCGGCTCTGCAAGCTCTCATAGCGCCTGGTAGGAAGGCAACATCTACCCCGCAATGCATGCGTGTACTGCGGGCTGGCCTACCCCGAGTCTCACAGGCGCCGAGCCACCGTAATTTGCCGAATGAATCTGAGAAAAACGGGCGTACTCTCTGTGCGATCCCTTACGGCCGAAGCGGGTAGACCGGCCCTCACGCTGCGCGGATCCCTGGCACATGGCATACACAGGGGCTTGCGCCGCCCGCTCAACAGGCGTGCTGGCGGGTTGCACACCCACCGGTTTCACAGGCGTTTCCTTGCCGCGCTGTCGTTAAGCGGTGTCATCTGCCCCCCCCCCCACCACCACCACCTATGCGATATGGTCGACGACCATACGACACGCGCGGTGTCATGAGGGATAAGTGGGTCATGATCATACAGTGTAAAGACCCGATAAAATAAAATATCAAAAAGAAAACTGAGCTGGGGAAGGAAGCGAGCCGACCCATTGGGCGTCGCCATCGCGGCCATCGCCTCATCTAGCGCTCCGAAGGTTCGGCTCGTCGAGCATGTTGTAGGCGGAGCGGCATATGCTGGGAGATAGGGGACTCAGTCAGAAGAGCCCTCGGCTGTCAGGCGGGTCAAGCTCGAGCCCCCGTGGTGCGTGTGTGGCCGTACCCATAAGGCCAGCCGTCTGGTGGTAACCGTGCAGAAATTACGTGCGTTCTGAGATTGGTGTTGTTTTCCACGCCCCACATTAGAGCTCAAATGTCAAATTGAGGAGTTTGTGAGACCATGTACCAGCGTAGTAGTAGTCCTTGTAGGGTCAATTTAACATGAATTAATCACTTATCAGTTCGGAACTAAATTAAAGATGCCCGTGAGATAAGCAAATAACTTTGGGCAATTTGTGTGCGAAGCGCCTCAGATTGAAAAACGAATCGCTGGTCTCTAGAGCGGAAGGTGGGGCGGGCGGGGTCCCCATCTGGACTCAAGGTCACCGCGCGTGCGCGGGAGCGCGGCAGCGGGGCTCTGGGCCAGCTAGACAGCTAGACGCACGGGGCGCGCGGCGAGGCTAGATAGGCACGGCCGGCCGACGGGACAGGGACACGCACGAGTCAAGTCATGGCGCGGTCACCACAGCACGCGAGCCGCAGGAAGCCACACACGAAGAGGGATAGTAGGGAAGCCTCACCGGTTCACAGCGCGGGCCACTGACCCACCCGGCCCTGCAGTGCACGCTGCAGGGCGAGCCGCACAAAAGCGCGAGCAGTATGGGATCGTCCAGAAAGTACGTCCGCCCGTTTTCTCCCCCGCGGCCCATTCGGCAGATTTCGGGAGTCGGGAGCTCGGCGCCTGTGAGACTTAGGGTAGGCCATCCCGCAGCACACGCATGCAACGCAGCCAAGATATTGCCTACCTATCAGGCGCTAAGAACGCTTCTTGCCCAGGCTGAACTTGGCGGAAAATGACGGGCGCACTTTCTGGATGATCCCTATTGAGGACCTGCAGGACGTGGGCGCAGGGGCTGCTGCCCGGTTCTAGGGCGCATTCCCTCGGCCGCCGCCGCCGCCCTCCCCTCGCCCCACTTGTTGATGGGCGCGGCGTCGCGGCGCCCGCCTCTGCCGCCGCTCTCCCTCCGCCCCCCCCCCTTCCCCGCCGAGGCGGAGACCGCGGCGCGCGCGCTTATGAGAATTCCTGGCATATTGCGGGGAGACCGACGACGGAGTCGGGTCTCTCTCTATCGGTCCTCGCCTCGCCGGGCGCGCTCTTCCTCCGGCCGTACACAGCGGGGAACTCGCTGGAAACTTTTGTACGCCGGGCTCCCTCAGCCCGCAGCGGAGCGGGGTGTGGTGTTGCGGGGTACAGGGGCGTCCTCTCCCCGCGGGGGTCCCCGTCGTCGCCCAGTGCTGTGCGCCCCTAGGCAATAGGGAGCTCATTTGCATTCGGCGCCCCCGCCATATGGGTGGTACGTGCCCTGGGCCCAACGCGGGGTACGTGCCCTCCCGCCCCCCACGCGAGGAACGTAAGTACCCCAGGCCCATCATGGGCGTGCGTGCCCTCCGGCCCCAACGTGAGGTAAACGTAGCCCGAACCCATTATGGGGGGAAAGAGGGGGGTGGGGGTGGGGTACGTTCCGAGGTACGTACCCCACGGGCCCCACCCACGGGGAGCGCCCAGCTGCTGCTGCACTGTCGTGATCCCAAATGAAATAGGCCGATACCACAAAAGCAGCTCATTTGTTGCGGCGGGGCGCGACGCGAGACGCCGCATTGTGCCCGCAAACTTAATCAACGAGAGTGAGCCTTAAGGGAACAAAACGGTGATTGATGGATGGGTGGATGGAGTGCGTGAGGTGTGTGGGCGAGCCTCGGCGGGCGTGCCCGTGCCACTCGGGGGGAG